CGGGGGGAGGGCCTGCAGGAGGCAGCACATCTCCATGCCAAATTCCAAACTGATTCCATATTGCCAAACCCATTTGCTTAATATCCACTATCTCCATTCTTATAAGAAAGTGTATTTATAAGACTGAGGACTGGCTTTCTACTCTGGTTTCAAGTCCATCAATAAAATAATAGCATTTTCTAGGTAACTACAATAGCAGCTAAGGTGGAGCACTGATTTAAAGAAAAGAACTTGTTACTCAAAATGTAACAATAAATATAAACTTATTACGCTGAGCAGTTGCTCACTTCCTATCACATGAAACAAAATTTTAGCACACACATACCTGTGGAACCATTGCAACCCTCTGGTTTCTTTTAGGTGATCTTGTATTTATTTGTCTGTCATCTTCATCAGAAAAGAATCGGCTTCGTTTTGAATTTCTGAAAGGCTATGATATAAATTATTTTATTTCATGAAAAGACTGAACACTTCCCATTTTGTTCCAAAATATAATTCTATATAGTAAAGTACAGCTAACTCTAGATTATTAGCAAGCAGTACAGAAGGATGAAGTATAGGTAATACAAAGTACAAGTGATCTCAGATTTAGAAAGTAGTAAGATACATATTTATGCAAAATGTTTACAAATAGAACACCTAGCTGATGATTAAAACTGGAACCCAAATCAAGCAGCTTTGAATGAAGATAGGAAAATAAAGTCTGGAAATTCCAGTTCTTATTATGTTGGTGTCTGGGTTAATGCCAGCTGGGTGTATCACATATGTTTGGTGAATAGGGCTGGACTAGGGCGAAGTTACTAGGTCACTCTAGACCAGCCGTGGGCAAACTACGGCCCGCGGGCCGGATCCGGCCCGTTTGAAATGAATAAAACTAAAAAAAAAAAAAAGACCGTACCCTTTTATGTAATGATGTTTACTTTGAATTTATATTAGTTCACACAAACACTCCATCCATGCTTTTGTTCCGGCCCTCCAGTCCAGTTTAAGAACCCATTATGGCCCTCGAGTCAAAAAGTTTGCCCACCCCTGCTCTAGACTCTAAATCTAAATGTATATAATATACTAGATCTGAGGTCAAAAATTGTTAACTGGAAAAAAAATTGTTAACTGAATTTCCATTTATAAATAAAAATATGAGATACCTATAACAGATACCTGATAAATGCCTGAAGGACTAAAAAAAACGTAAGCGCCCAAAGTACATCATATACTTAAGGGTCTATAATATGAAAAATTTTACAGTCCATTCTAGGTTCAGAGGTCTCATTAAAAGAACAACAGAAATAATATCCCATAGTACCTGCATCCTTTTTCAAATCCTTCTTCCACTATTCAAGACAGAGCTTCATGCCTATTTAGAAGGGAGGGAGGTACAGAGAGCTAGCAACATGTGGGCAGCATCCAATCGCGTCAAGGTTAGAGGTTAGGATCCTTGAAATTAAATCCACTGAGAGTCTCAACACTCCATAGCCCTGACTGGAAGCCCTTCTCCCCTGCTTCCTCCCAAGACGAGGAAGAGAATGATGGTGACAGAACTGACGGGAGTGTAAAGTCCTGCACATTCACTGTGGTCGGCTGTCCAGGTACAGTGACCACTGCTGTGTATCCCAGCTCCAGGCTTGTTTCAGGACTGATTCCTAACCTCCTGGGCAGGGGAGGCGCAGAGGTCCCCCAAATCATTAGTCCTGCCAACTATCCCACCCCTAAATGCAGTTACCCTTGACCTACACAAGATTTTACTATTTTACCACTTATTTATATATCTTTTTGTAGGGACCAGAGCCATGCAAATTTTACTATCTAATAAAAGTACGAGTTTGGGTTGTTGGAGTTTTTTTGGTTTTGCCTATTTAAAAAAAAACTACAATTACTTAACAAATGCTTAACAGTGACCAGATTATCACAGACTACAGATTATTTACTTATATAGGATCATATACCGCTCAATGGCACTTAAAGACTCAAATGCTTGCCCTGGTGGGGTAGGTAGTTCAGTTGGTTAGAGCGCCTTCCTGATATGCTAAGGTTGTGGGTCCGATTCCCCCGTTAGGACACATACAAGCAGCAACTAATGAATGCATAAATTAGTGGAACAACAAATTGATGTTTCTCTCTTTCAAATCAATCAATTAAAAAAAACCCTCAAATGCTTAAAGGTGGGGGGAAACCTTGGAAAATTTTTACTGTGCTATAAGAACTTGCACATGACAATAATACAAACAAATTAGCTATCATATTCTAAAAACTAATTCCTTACCATTTCCACAGCAGAGCCTGTATTCCTGCCTTTCCAAACAGGTGTTTTTTGTAAAGAACTGAACTTTTCATTCCATGTGTTAGATAAGCTTCCCTCTGTAATAAATAATTATTACTAATAAGATTTAAGTTTAGCTCAAAGGATTTCATACTATGAACATTGCCTTTTTATAAGTACCGCGCGCTAACCGATTGTGCCACTGGAGCTCCTGAACATTGCCTTTTTAATAATAGCAATATATCTGAAGTATTTACCAAGATAAAAAAAATATACTGATCATAATAACTTTAGTTTATTTCAAATGAAAGGGCTCTTCTGTGTGTTTTTTTGTTGTTGTTGTTGTTTTGGTCAAACTCTAAGTAACTTGGCAAGGCAAGGCAATGCATCTTGAAAATATTAAATTTTCTTATTAAAACATGTGTGGCTTCTTTCTTCTTGGTTTTTAGTAATTCCTCTATTCTAATTTTCCAAGAACTATCTCATAAATGCAATCTAATCGAAAGCAGGCAATGAAAAAAACTTCTTCTAACCTTGAATTTAGAGCATATTTCTAAATGTTTTCTACTTCAGAATATGAACCCTTTATATTCAAAAAAGGAAATGTGTGATGTTTCTGTTTTCCTTAATTCTAAGAAGTATCTTGAGTTGTATGCAACCAGAAGAGATTCAATCAAGTGGCTAATTAGACATACTATGAAAAGAAGGGTGAGTTTAACTTTTATAAAAAGGATATCTTTATACAGAGAGAAACAGAGAATCCTGGGATAGATATACCAAACGCAGTAGCTTCATTTCCTTCTAGCTGCTCATCAGCATTTTCTAATTTTTTTCTACAAGAAATTTTATCATGTGTATCATACATACATATAATATACACAGATATATGTATTTTTAAAAGAAAAGTGATTTTACTATTGAGGAAGAATATGAAATACTTTTAATAAGTATAAAGTATTTCATAGTAATGAAATACTTTTTTAATAAGTACAAAAGAAAAAAGGTAGGATGGGGTTGACCTTGGTAGGCAAATAAATTAGGGTAACTCTGGAAGATAAGTGTTCTCAAGCCAGAGGATTTAACTTGGTAAATCACCAACTCAAAGCACAACACAGTAGTTTTAAAAATTAAAAGTACTAATGAGGCTTAGAATATCTAGCTTAGTTCCAAATGTACTTACCCAATAGAATCTTGCTCAAAAGGTAAAACTTCAAAATGAGCTATATTAAGAGGGTTGGTCTAATGTACTACTTACAGAAAGAAATAGCAAGACCAAGGAACATTTATCTTTTTTCTCAGAAAAGGAAGTTATTATTGTTCTTTTATTTTTAAGAGATTTGCATTATTACTTAAAGGCAAGATTCTTAAAAAATAAGCTATTATGCAAAAATACAGCTTAGCATAATTGTTTAATGAATGTTTAAAAAATAAATGTTTTAAATCTAATAAGGAAATTCTTTAGTCAATAATTCTAGGGGGAAAAATTCTTAGTAATTTCTAACATCCAAGGACCAATTTGTATCAGCATATGAATGTAAAATTGTCACCAGTGAAAACCAGTACTGAAAAGCTATAATGAATCATAACTCAGAAGAGAGAAACACTAACCCACATTCATTCATTGGATTAAATCTCTAGCTTATGCCATACCTAGAGAACCAGGGTGGGACCCTTACCTTTTAAACTGACAAGGGCTTTTGCTGAAGAGCCTGCAATTAAAACAAATCACTATTATTCCATAATCAAAGTGAGAGAAAAAGAACTTGATTGGGGTAGAAGCAATCCATTTAGTTTTAGATGTTGAGTTTGAAGTGATGGTGGGATGTGCAATTAGAAATAACTAGTAGACATTCAACTCATAAGGTAAGGGAGAACTGGAGAGACATCTGGGAGTCTTCCTGAAGTTGTGACAAGTGGAGACCTTTCCCAGGGAGAAAAATGTAGAAAGAGGGGAACGAAGACGACTTAAGGACAGACCGATTCTGGATCTTCATCTAGAAGTGTGCTGGTGCTGGAGAAGGAAAAGAGAAGGGAACCGACATTTACGGAGGCAAAGACCAGAGCCAATACAGTGGGAAACAGAAAGGGTCCCGCCCTGTCGCAGCAAGTCCCCTGGGTGTGCAGAATGCTGCTACGGGCAACACTTAAAGACCCCGGCTGCAAACGGAGTTCAGCAAAGGCAAGGGGGACTAGCATAGAGTTGGAGGGGTTCACTGGCTAAAAGAAACTTTAGTGCATGTTAGAATAGTCAGGAAGCTCCTCCAGCACAAAGAATCTGTACGATTAATAAAGGTCCCTAGGGATTCTGGTGCAGGTAACCCGCAGGCTCATCTGAGGAACACTGAGCTACTGGTGTGAATCAAGGATAGGATTTTTATGAAAAAGGGAGAGCACTAAGTTGAAAATCTCTGAATTGAATATGTGAACTGCAAAGAAGTCTAAGTCATTTGAAAAATAATAAAGGGTGATCTCTGTCACTTATATGTGACATCAAACAAACAGACAAACTCAGATAGGTACAGAGAAGAGGCTGATGGCTGCCAGGGTGGGGGAAATAGGTGAAAAGTACAGGCTTCTAGTTATAAGACACATACACCCTGAGGATGTGACACACAGCATGGTGACTACAGCTAACAATACTGTCACATCTGAAAGTTGCTACAACAGATCCTAAAAGTTCTCATCACAAGGAAAAAACTTGTAACAATGGGTAGAAATGGGTGTTAGCAGGACTTAGTGGGGTAATAACTTTTGCCCTATATATATCTATAATAATGAAAGTGTAATATGCTAATTAGATCGGACGTCGGACGAAGTTGCCGCGGAGGCGAGGCAGAGGCGGGGCGGGAGG